ACAAGGGTGGGAGGGGGGTGGGGACTGTGTGGAAGTGTGAGGTGGACCAGGTGAGTGAGGTCTAGAAGCCAGACGATGAGACGGACCAGGTGAGTAGGGTCCAGAAGCCAGAGTGTGAGATGGACCAGGTAAGTGGGGTTCAGAAGCCAGAGTATGAGGCAGACCAGGTGAGTGGGGTCCAGAAGCCGGACTGTGAGATGGACCAGGTGAGTGGGGTCCAGAAGCCGGAGTGTGAGATGGACCAGGTGAGTGGGGTCCAGAAGCCAGAGTGTGAGATGGACCAGGTGAGTGGGGTCCAGAAGCCGGAGTGTGAGATGGACCAGGTGAGTGGGGTCCAGAAGCCGGAGTGTGAGATGGACCAGGTGAGTGGGGTCCAGAAGCCAGAGTATGAGGCAGACCCAGTGAGGGAGGTCCAGAAGCCAGATTATGAGGCAGACCCAGTGAGGGAGGTCCAGAAGCCAGAGTATGAGGCAGATGAGGCAGACCTGGTGAGGGAGGTCCAGAAGCCAGAGTATGAGGCAGATGAGGCAGACCTGGTGAGGGAGGTCTAGAAGCCAGAGTATGAGGCAGACCAGGTGAGTGGGGTCCAGAAGTCCGAGATAAACCACATGAGCCTGTGATGGGGGTGGGAGCCGCAGGGTGGGGACCCGGCAGGAGTGCCCTGCAGGGCTCAGGAAGGTTAAGAAACTCAGGCCCCATCCACCTAGAGAGATACAGGACACTATCCTTTCTGTTAACACGGAAGCCTGGAAGGAGAGGTGGAAGGAAGGAGAGGGGGGAGCGATGTCCCACTTCATCAGGGCCTGAAGCCTGAGGATTCCTCCCATGTGTGCTGAGGGCTGCTGTGGACCAGCACCATGCCAGGCACATTGTGCATATTGGGGTGACATGTCAGCATGGTGGGCATCAGCAGCCTATTCCCAGGTGACTGAGTGAACACAGAGCCAGGCAGGGAGGGCACAGGTGCCACAACCAGTGAGGGAACAGTGGGCCTGGAACTCATGTCTAACAACAAAGCTTTGATTACACTGGCCTCCAGGCCACCTCCCCAGGGGTTTGGACCCTGACCCTGAGAGAAGACCAGGCTGACAGCAGGCCAAGCAGGGATAGCTCTGAATGGATGCTCTGGTGTCCCAGGGAGGAAGGACACCAGGTTTTAGCCTCCCAGCTTCCTTGGTCCTGTTTCTGCTCTGTATCAGAGGACACTGTAGCAGGGCAAGGCCAGCTCTCTTCTAGCTCCTGAGTCATTCCCAAGGGCCATTGCTGCCCACCCCCTCCGGGGCAACAGGCTATGGGACTTGTACCTGCTCCAGACAGCCACTTACTGCCCAGCCTGCCTGCTCTGAGGGCAGCATGGAGTCTCCCGGGGCTCCAGGTCCAGGCTGGGCATCCTCAGGCAACATGAGAGACACTGGCCCCCATAGACGTCTGGTTACCCACAGGAGAGCAGACGGCTGACCTGGAGAGTGGCCTCAACCTCACAGTGCCCAGGGGATAATTTTTAGGCCTCCCAGGACAGATGCTCCCAATGGGCAATGGCGGTGCCAAGTGAAAACAAGATAAGAAGTTGGGAGGAGTAGTGGCTGCTCCCGTCTGGCCAAGGTCACGTGGTGTTTCCGACAATAACACATCGTACCCACTGGGCAGGCAGGCAATGCTCCTAATCCTCTACCAGGTAGTAACTACATTTGCAGGCACAGGCTGGCCTGATAAACCAGGTAGGGCTTGGGGATGGTGAGACTCTGGTGGACTTTGTGTGTCTTGGGGAGAAGGCTCCTGTGGAGGGCTGGGGATCCAGACAGCCCTTGGGGACATTCTGGCCCCCTTACACAGAAGTGTTCTAAGGACCCTCTCTAGGTTTCCTGTGCCCAGAAGTACTTTCCCTCTGGGGCCCAAGGACCCAGCCTTTCATGGACCTCCTGGTTCTGAACGTCTTGAGGAATGGGATGAGGCTCAGGCCAAGGAGAAGGTTCTCCTGCTCCCACTTCCTCTTCTGCCCTCCATTCCCCATGGGGTCTCTCTCCCTTAGAGCTACCCACCGCTGTCCCAAAGCCTCCCCTGGTGTGGCCTAGAAGCCTATGCCAAACAAGGGCTGCAAAACAAAGTCCCCATTCTGAGCCGAAAGGGGTAGAACAGTAAACAAGTCCAGCCGGCAGGCTCCATGCGGCCAGGGTGGGGGGATATTCCCCCTCTTAGCTGATGTGGAATGTCCAAGAGGCTGAAATAAAAGTTGGAATGACAAGAGGCCAGCCCTGGTCGGGAGTAATTCACAGAGTTACTACCTGGCAGAGGATTAGGAGCATTGCCTGCCTGCCCAGTGGGTCCGATGTGTTATTGTCAAAAACACCACGTGAAATCCTTGTTTGTGTCGGCTCCAGGAGCATGTTGCTAATTTCGAGGAATTAAACTAATGCTTTACGTGGCTCCACAGAAAATCAGAGGGGATTACGGCCTGGCAAGTCCTCGCTGACGGCCTTGCTGACCTTTGCTACACAAGGGGACTTTTTTTCTTGTTGCTCTCTCCGTGAAAGGTCCCACACGGAGCTGACTCCTGGGCCTGGCACAACCCGTGGCTCTGAGACTCGGGGTGCTGCGCGTGTCATGCCTGCTCTGACTGTTGGCTGTGGGTTGGTCTGGGCCCTCTCACAGCCTCTGTTCTCCTCGCGCGTCTCTCTCCTTGAGGGGAGGAGAGCTGTGGATCACCTGGGACATCTGTCTCAGGGGCCTTCCCCTCTTAGCCTCTGGTGTGGCCTCTCCAGTGGGCAGGGCATCCTCACTCCCATGGGAAAGAGACGGACGGCAGGCTTCCTTGTTCAAGCTAGACCTCATTTGTGCTGTGTGGTGCCGGAGAAGAAACGCCATTTCTCTATCCCTTCACTGGGGGCTTGGAGGCTTGTTCTGCCACTTCCCGTCTCTGTGAATTTGGCTGTCACCTCTCTGAGTCTCTGCTCTCTCATCTGCAAAATGGTTGTAGGAAAACTTCCCCTCTTAGAGGCTGCGGCTCACCCCTCCCTTCCTACCCTGCTAGCTGTGTGACCCTGGGAAAGTTACTTAGCCTCTCTGTGCCCCAGTCATCATCTGTAAAGTGGGGATAATGGCTATACCGACCTCTGGCTTGGGATGAGCATAGTCAGCTGACATGTCAAAGTTCTTACACGAGGACCTGGCAGGTGGGAGATGCTACGTATGCATTTGTTTTATTTTCCAATGTTTTGCTCCCACTAGATGGTGAGTACTTGTTAGTTCTCCTCCCCACAAACCATAGGATAGGATCGGGAGTCCCTCCTTGCCTCCTTCTCCTCCCTGTTCAGGCCCCTCTCTCTGGGTCTTTCAGGAGTGTGAGACCTATGAGAAGTGCTGCCCCAACGTGTGTGGGACCAAGAGCTGCGTGGCAGCCCGCTACATGGACGTGAAAGGGAAGAAGGGCCCAGTGGGCATGCCCAAGGAGGCCACATGCGACCACTTCATGTGTCTGCAGCAGGGCTCTGAGTGTGACATCTGGGATGGCCAGCCCGTGTGTAAGTGCAAAGACCGCTGTGAGAAGGAGCCCAGTTTCACCTGCGCCTCGGATGGCCTCACCTATTATAACCGCTGCTTCATGGATGCCGAGGCCTGCTCCAAAGGCATCACGCTGGCCGTTGTCACCTGCCGCTATCACTTCACCTGGCCCAACACCAGCCCCCCACCGCCTGAGACCACCATGCACCCCACCACAGCCTCTCCAGAGACCCCTGAGCTGGACATGGTGGCCCCAGCCCTGCTCAACCATCCCGTGCACCAGTCGGTCACTGTGGGTGAGACGGTGAGCTTCCTCTGTGATGTGGTGGGTCGGCCCCGGCCCGAGATCACCTGGGAGAAGCAGTTGGAGGATCGAGAGAACGTGGTCATGTGGCCCAACCATGTGCGTGGCAATGTCGTGGTCACCAATATCGCCCAGCTGGTCATCTATAACGCCCAGCTGCAGGACGCTGGGGTCTACACGTGCACGGCCCGGAACGTGGCCGGGGTCCTGCGGGCCGACTTCCCGCTGTCGGTGGTCAGGGGAGATCAGGCTGTGGCCACCTCCGAGAGCAGCCCCAATGGCACTGCTTTCCCGGTGGCTGAGTGCCTGAAGCCCCCCGACAGCGAGGACTGTGGCGAAGAGCAGACCCGCTGGCACTTCGACGCCCAGGCCAACACCTGCCTGACCTTCACCTTTGGCCACTGCCACCGCAACCTCAACCACTTTGAGACCTATGAGGCCTGCATGCTGGCCTGCATGAGCGGGCCGCTGGCCACGTGCAGCCTGCCTGCCCTGCAGGGGCCCTGCAAAGCCTACGTGCCCCGCTGGGCTTACAACAGCCAAATGGGCCAGTGCCAGTCCTTTGTCTACGGTGGCTGTGAGGGCAACGGCAACAACTTTGAGAGCCGTGAGGCCTGCGAGGAGTCGTGCCCCTTCCCCAGGGGGAACCAGCGCTGTCGGGCCTGCAAACCTCGGCAGAAGCTTGTTACCAGCTTCTGTCGCAGCGACTTTGTCATCTTGGGCCGAGTGTCTGAGCTGAGCGAGGAGCCTGACTCGGGCCGCGCTCTGGTGACTGTGGATGATGTCCTAAAGGATGAGAAGATGGGCCTCAAGTTCCTGGGCCAGGAGTCGTTGGAGGTCACTCTGCTCCATGTGGACTGGGCCTGCCCCTGCCCCAACATGACCGTGAGCGAGACGCCGCTCATCATCATGGGGGAGGTGGACGGTGGCATGGCCGTGCTGCGTCCTGATAGCTTTGTGGGTGCCTCAAGCGCCCGCCGGGTCAGGAAGCTCCGTGAGGTCATGTACAAGAAGACCTGTGACGTCCTCAAGGAGTTTCTGGGCTTGCACTGAAGTCCCCCACCCCTTCCCGGCCCCCTCCCTGGCCTTCTTCCACCCCCCCCCAATGCCCCTCAGCAAACTGGGCGAGGTCACATTAGACAGTGTTGGGTCAGAAGGGACATCAACAGATGTGCCGAAAAAAAGCCACCAGAGGGTCTCAGATCAGCTTCGATTCTTTGGGTTCAATAGGGGTTTATATCTTTTTTAGCTGAGGGAGACAAAAGGAGATGAGGGGATGAATGGAAGTTATTCCTGACCGCCAGCCTGCTCGGAAGCTCTCCTCCTCCCTTCACTGGCCTGCGCCCCTGGCTCTCCCAGCCACCCTTTCTCAGCCAGTCTCCCAGCAAGGGTTTAAGAGATGGCCACTGAGTGCTGGTCACAGGAGCAGTTGAATGGATTGGCTTGTAAAGGGGGCAGGTGGGGAGAGATAGGAGGGTCCAGAGACTCATGGGACACCTTTCCCACAGCCTCCTGGATTGCTGTAAGCAGAGGCCACTTGGGGTTAGGGGCATGGGCAAGCTGGAGGCAGAGTCCAGCGCAGCACATGGCTTGCTCTGAGTGGGAGCTGCTGAAACGGCTGCCTTTGCGCGGTGGTCGGTCTGCTCTCAGGTCACCACGGCTCCAGTAGAATACAGATTTCTTCTCCTTGGCTGCCCTGGTTTGTCGATCTAGTTCAGTTCAACTCAGTGGACATTCTCTGAATACTTACCAGGTGCCAGGACCACAGAGGGATGTTAGTCACTGCCCAGCTCTTAGCGCCCGAACACAGATGTCCTCATCCCAGGACCCCTGGAAGCACCCCCCATCTGGACTCACAGCCATCCGGAGTTTCTGTCTGATGGGTGGTGTGCTTTCATATGCCACTGGCTTCCTGGACATAAAGCAGACAAAAGCCCCAGGGTCTGTTTGGTATCAGGAGAAAGAAAGCAAGAGGAAAAAGCAGGCGGGAAGGGTGTAGCACAGGACAGAGAAAGGAGGGAGGTGGCTGCAGAACAAGGAACGTTGCTCGATGCTCCCATCTGGTGGTGGCCTTGGGAGCCCACGGGAACCTGGAGGGAGGCTCTGCGAGGCCTGGGCAAAGGAGATGGCAGCTCGTTGGTGATCTTTTTGTGCGTTTCCAGACTTCCTGTGTGGGCCTGGCCATCCCGCCGCTAGAGAGAGGATCGGGGAACCCCACTGAAGCTTTGCATCTTGCTCCACTCCCTTCTCTGCCCTATTCTGTCCCTGCCCCTCCAAGCTGAAGAAGGTCTTTGTGGGGTGTCCTTATTTCTTCATCAAATATATGGGGGAAGATACCAATTAAAAGCTCATAGTATCACCAGTCCTTCTTGTGTGATTCGTTTGGGTTATGATGGGGGATGGAAGGACATGGGTAGTGTCATTTGCTTTGGTGACCTTACAAGAGGGAAGTCTGGTCATAGGAGCATCTTCGGGGGATGGAGAGACGCTGGTCATATTTTAGCTCCCTTTGCAGCTCCAAGACCCCTTAACCGATGCTCAGCTCAGCTCAGCTCTGTGAGTTTATCTGAGGTCAGAGAGGTGAGGTGACTTGCCAAGAACATAAAGGCAGGAAGGGGTGGGGCCCAGGCCAGGTGTTCTGACCTGTATCCTGCTCTCACCCCAGCATGACAGCATGGTGGGTCAGGTGCAGTGTCCAGACCACCAGTGGTGTCGAGTTCAGAGGCAAAAAGGTAGAGGAGATGGGAACGGAGCAGGCAGGGGCAGCTGCCAGCTGTGACTTGCTAGGGGGCCTCTAGGTGAGGCCTGGTCCCAGGAAGACTGCATCAAAGCCCTATGCTCAGGGCATGGGGCTCGGTTCCCAGAATGGAGACGGCAATGCCTTTGGTCCCAGGGAGGACCACAGTGGCTCCCCAGCTCTGGAGACGTGTTCAGGAGCCCCGCAGCCATGACACACCCAACAGCCTGTTTGTCCCCAAGAGACACTACTCTCCTGCACACTTGCCTGTGTTTTCCTGGGCCCCAACCCCAAAAAAGAATCCAGGCCCAGCCCAGCCTGGCCCAGCCCATCTCATCTGCAATGTGAGTTCGAGGAGGAGGTCAGGAAGAACAAAGGCAGAGGATGGGGGTTTCTCAAGTTGCCATTGGGAAAATGCTGAGAATGAAACTTGACCATGAAGGTGGCATGGGCAGCAGCCACGGGCCCCCATCCTGCCTGGGTTAGGGAACCAGAGAGCATGAGGACGGTCTCACTCTGCCCTCAGAAGCCCAGGGACATTTTGTGCACCTGCTTCTATCCAGAGCTCTAGTGCATTCATGCAAGCTGTGGGGGCAAGTGTCCACATGCCAGCACCTGTCACCTCCCTTTTCACCCCCATTTGCATAGAAAGGGGACCTGAGCCCTGCAGCTGGGCTGGGACAGCAGGGGCCCCGGTTGCATTTCTGCTTCCCTGATGAAGGTATAAGGTTCAGAAAAATCCCATGTCGGGGCTCCCTCTCACCAGACCACTGCCCACCCACAGCCCCAGACCTGGGTCCCTGTCACGCTCCAGCCCCACCTGGCAGAGCAAGAAAACTCAGCCCATGAAGTCAGACTTGCTTAGGTCTGAATCTGGGCTCTGCGCTTACCTGGGATCTCTCTGAGTCTCTGTTTCCTCATCTGTAAAACAGAGGGTAGTAAGATCACTCTACAAGAAACTCGGGGGCAGGGCGCAGTGGCTCACACCTGCAATCCCAGCACTTTGGGAGGCCATGGCAGGTGGATCAGAAGGTCAGGAGTTGGAGACCAGCCTGGCTAACATGATGAAAACCCGTCTCTACTAAAAACACAAAAAAATTAGCTGGCCATGGTGGTGCATGCCTGTTGTCCCAGTTACTCAGGAGACTGAGGCAGGAGAATCGTCGGAACTGGGGAGGCGGAGATTGCAGTGAGCCAAGATCACGCTACTGCACTGTAGCCTGGGCGACAAAGCGAGACCCTGTCTCAAAAACAAAACAAAAAGCAAACAGAAGAGACTCAGGAGCTGGGCCCTATTAACCGGAAGGCCCAGGAGGAGGGCCTGGTGCAGAGCGGCTGCCATGTGCCCCCTCCCACCTGCAGCAGCTCTCTGCTCAGAACAGATCCCAGAACGGAAAGCCCTCCCCTTGCGTTTCCAGGTCTTGGACTTTGCAGCTTCAAATGTTTTATCCTGTTGCTTACAGAGTAAACCCAAACTGAGCACCCACTATAGGCTGATTTGGGGTTCAGAAAATATGGGCACTTAGAGAATGGGTAGTTTCGAACCTATTATAACTTCTGACCTACCACCTGGCATTCATTTTCTATCCTTGACACCAAGCTGGAGTCCTTGTCTCTGTTGCCCTGGGCCTTATACAAAGCCCAGCATCTAGTAGGTAAAGGGTGAATGGAGCTCCCCCGGCCTGGTCACCTGCCAGTCTGGGGAGGTTGCTTTGCTCAGTCAAATCGAGGAGTTTTGGCCCCAGCCTAGGTCCCGGGACATAACGACATTGAGGTTCCTTTAGCCAGGTTAGACTCCCCTATCTCCTGTCTGCCCCGGACACCCACTCCTCACATTCCTGCACCCACTTGGCTCGCTCCTTCCTGCTCTTTCTCTCAGTTTGCCTCTTCAGAGGCCTATTCCAGAGTGGCCCGTCTCCCGGCCAGTCTCCAGGGCCTCTGGGGCAGGGCAGCTTGGCTTCTTCCACCCTCCGCCTCCCCCAGCACCTCCAGCCTGCTAGGACACTCCGTTCCATTGTGTAGCCAGCTGCTCCATAGTCTGATGTCACCCCCCGGACAGTGGGGCTGGAGAGCAGGGATGGGGTGGACCCTGACCAGGAAGGGGGACAATAAGTTCACAGCTTTGGGTGATTGCCTGGGGCCCTGGGGAACTCTCTCTGTCCCCTTGTCCTTTTGTAAAAACAGCAGCATGCGTGAGCGCTTCCTATGTGACAGTTACTAGATACCAGTTCTTATAAGCTCCACTGCAACTGGAGGAGACAAGGCCATTTTGTGGGTAGGAAAACTAAGGCTAGAAGGGATGAGAAACTTGCCGTAAATACGGTGAGTGACAGAGCCAAGGCTTGAATCTGCCAGTCTGACTTCAGAGCATTTTCTGTTTTGTTTTGTTTTTCTGAGATAGAGTCTTATTCTGTTGCCCGGGCTGGAATGCAGTGGCACCATCTTGGCTCACTGTAACCTCCGCCTCCCGTGTTCAAGTGATTGTTGTCCCTCAGCCTCCCTGAGTAGCTGGGATTACAGGTGCCCGCCACCATGCCCGGGTAATTTTTATATTTTTAGTAAAGACAGGGTTTCACCATGTTGGCCAGGCTGGTTTTGAACTCCTGACCTCAGGTGATCCGCCTGCCTCGGCCTCCCAAAGTTCTGGGATTAAAGGCGTGAGACATGGCACCTGGCCCAGAGCTCTTCATACTCATATTATGTTGTTTCTCCTAGTGTGCAACACACACACACACACACACACACACACACACACACACATCCTGCTCTGGGCTAGGCAGTGTGGAGTCCCATCAGGACTCTGAATATCTCCGAAGAGCCTGCCACCCGTCAGCACACACACCACCCAGGGCTGTTTACGACCACTGTGACAAGCATTTCTATCACACACACACAAGCAGTCCTGGCCTAGATTCATCGCCTTCTGCCTACTCATCCTTCAAGACTCAGCTCCTTGGGGAGGCTCTGCTGTCTCCCCGGCCGCATGAGCTCCTCCCTGAGTCTCTCACCCTCTAGCCTCCAGGAGGTGGTGGGCCCAGCTCCCAGAGCTCAGGAGGCTGAGACAGGAGATCACTTGCTGGGTGAATGGAGGGTCCTGGGACTGGGAGCCATGCCGAGCGGCTGTACTGAGCAATCACAAGCCCAGAAGGGGCCTCTCTGGGGTCCTCCCTCTTTTTCCCACCTCTACCTCCTGTTACCTCCTCCTCCTCCTCCTCCTCTTCCACCCACCTCTTGAGGAGTCTGAAGCCTCCCTCCTACTCTGGGGAATGTGTGATTAATGCAGGCAGGATGGGGTTCCTGGGTCCTATTCTTAGCTGTGGCCTCATTCTGGTATGTGCCCTGAGGCCAGGCGACACTCTTCTCTCAGGCTGTGTCAGGAGGCAGGAAGCGTAAACCTCCAGCTGGCATCTCCTGAGGGAGAGGGCAGGGTGGGCAGGTAGGCAAGCCCCTCATCCCCTCCTGCCCGCCTCCCAGGCTCCTGAGGCCCTTGGCACTTCCATTTCAGGGTCATGCTGGAGTCCCTGTGGCCCCATCCCAAAATACCCTGGGACACAGAACTCTGCTGGGTCTCCAGCGATACTCTGGCCGCCCTCAACCCCACTCAGATGAGGGAAAGCAGAACTCAGCCCAACATAGACTGGCCTCTCCCGGAGCTGGGGCCTCTTCCCAGGTGTCTGTCAGGGACGAAGAGGGCACTTGCGTGCTTTTGGCCCTTTTCAGGAGGACACTGCCAGAGACCCGACGGGCCCACCATCATGCCTGGCTAATTTACATATTTTTAGTAGAGACAGAGTTTTGCCATATTGGTCAGGCTGGTTTCGAACTCCTGATCTCAGATGATTCGCCTGCCTTGGCCTCCCAGAGTGCTGAGATTACAGGAGGGAGCCACTGTGCTTGGCCAGGCTTATACATTGTCATGCAAATGAAGTTCTTGATGGCCTCCCTCAATACCCCAGAGTTCCCAGTGAGGGACACAAATAAGTGCACACACAACCCCAGCACCAACATTCGTGACATGCAGGTGAAGATGAGTTCTCCAATCTTTTAGCTGAATATGGTAGGGGGCTGCTGCTAGGAAGGAGACCCTGGGAACTGGAGGCTAAGTCCTCCCATGGCACAGCACAGTGCCCGTGACGGCTGCTGCCTCCCAGGAATCAGTCTGCCACCAGGCCAGTTATTCAGCTCTTCACAGACACCTATGCTGCAGCTGTCATCTTGTTTCTTGCACGAAAGTGCTGACTAAAAGTCTCATAATTTCGTCAGTGGTCATTGCCGTATAAGTGCACTACATACGCATTTAAACACAGGGCCCGGGGACATGTTCCGAAGGATGGAGTTGTGAAAGACATCAGAACGAGGCCCACTTTAAAAGATACATGTGAAATTGACAAGATGACCAGAGGGTAAAACAGATTACCATGCTTGGAAATACTTGGTGATATAGGATACAAACAGGTACAACATGCTCAAATACAGGAAAAGTCCTGTAACTAGCAGAGATAGCATTTGTCAGATTACTTATGTGCATATAGAAGGGGATATGATCGTCTGCAGCTTATGCACACGAACTGCCAAAATGCAGTGTGAAGGTTGGCCTGACAGATGACGCTGCCTCACGGTGTACCAGCCTGGGCTGGCCCACAGGCTTCTCAATAGGTTTGGCCAGGACAAGATCTATGATGGTCAAGTGGAGGTGACCAGAGATGAATTATAATGTGGAAACCACCGATGGTCAGCCCGGGCCTTCACCTGCTATTTGGATGCAGGCTTTGCCAGAACTACTACTGACAATAAAGTTTTGGGGGCCCTGAAGGGAGCTCTGGATGGAAGCGTGTCTGTCTCTCACAGTACCAAACGATGCCCTGCTTATGATTCTGAAGGCAAGGAATTTAATGCAGAAGTGCATCAGAAGAACTTTGCAGGTCAGAATGTCGCAGATTGTGCACATTACCTAATGGAAGAAAATCAAGATGCTTACAAGAAACAGTTCTCTCAATACATAAAGAACAGCGTAACTTCAGACATGGTAGAAGAGATGTGGAAGGAAGCTCAGGCTGCTATACAAGAGAATCTAGTTGGGTTAGTCTATTCTCACACTGCTTTAAAGAAATGCCTGAGACCGGGTAATTTATAAAGAAAAGAGGTTTAATTGGAAGGTTATGTAGGAAGCATAGCAGCTTCTGCTTCTGGGGAGGCCTCAGGAAACATATAATCATGGCAGAAGGCAAAGGGGAAGCAGGCAGGTTTTACACGGCAGGAGCAGGAGGAAGGGGTCGGGGGAAAATGCACAAACTTTTAATCAACCAGAGCTCACAGTAACTTCCTCATTCACTATCACGGGAACAGCATCGAGGGGATGGTGCTAAACCCTTCATGAGAAACCACCCTCGTGATCCGGACACCTCCCACCAGGCCTCACCTCCAACACTGGGGATTACAATTTGACATGAGTTTTAGTGGGGACACAGATCCAAACCATATCACCAGTCTATGAGAAGAAGCCCAAGAAGGAGCTAAAAAGAAGAGATGGAACCATCCCCAAATGTCCCTTGCCCAGAAGAAAGATCGGGTAGCTCAAAAGAAGGCAAGCTTCTTTTCTCTGAGCTCTCTGTCAGGAGCAGAGGGGCGGGCTGCTGAGGGTGAAACCAAACAACTTTTCTCTCTCTCTTCTCTCTCTTTTCTCTCTCTCTCTCTCTCTCTCTCTCTTTTTCTTTTTTAGATAGAATCTTGCTCTGCCACCCAGGCTGGAATGCAGCGGCATGATCTTGGCTCACTGCAACCTCTGCCTCCAGGGTTCCAGCAATTCTCCTGCCTCAGTCTCCCCAGTAGTTGGGATTACAGGCACATGCCACCACACCCAGCTAATTTTTGCATATTTCATAGAGACAGGGTTTCAGCATATTGGCCAGGATGGCCTTGAATGCGTGGCCTCAGGTGATCCACCTGCCTCGGCCCCCCAAAGTGCTGGGATTACAGGTGTGAGACACCGTGCCTGGCCCAGACAACAGTTTATTTTTTGAGATGGAGTCTTGCTCTGTCACCCAGGTTGGAGTGCAGTGGCGAAATCTCAGCTCACTGAAACTTCTGCCTCCTGAGTACAAACGATTCCTCTGCCTCAGCCTCCTGAGTAGCTG